AGAAACAAAACTCAGCAACAACATAATAAATAACCCAGCCACCATATCAATAACTCAGCCAAAACATAATCAATAACTCAGCCAAATCATAAATAATAAATAACTCAGCCACAACATAATATATAACTCAGCCACAGTAATCAATAACTCAGCCAAAACATAATCAATAACTCAGTCGGATCATAATCAATAACTCAGCAACTTCATAAATCAAACTCAACTCAGCCACACTATACAATAACTCAGTAACAACATAATCTATAACTCAGACACGTCGTAAATCAAACTCATGCACAACATACCAGAGAAGATGAGAAGATGATAGATACGATTACGTCGAAACTTTTGCGGAGAAGAGGATGTCGACGAAGATGATATCGGAGACGGTTAGGGTTTAAGGAGGTCGACGAAGATGATTTACGATATCGGAAACACTGTTTGAAACGAGAGTATTAGTTGTGACGAAGATGATTTCGCGATTTCTTGATTTCGTAATTGGTTAGGGTTTAACGAAAGTTGTGACGGAGAAGAATGTGACATTAAGACTTTTTTTTTGTTCACCGAAGATATGAGACTGTTGATTTTCCAGTGTAACTGTTGATGACACAAATTAGTTAGTGACGTGGATTGTCAAAATTATGATGTGGATTTAATAATTAAAATTTGTATCAATAGTAACAAAATTAAGCAAGGGTGTTTATTGTAATTTACTAGGAGTCTAAAAACATTCTAGTAATTTTTAGAAAATGTATATTATTCTAGTCATATACAAGCTTTTGTGTATCATTCTAGTAATTTTCTCTTACAAGAATCCTTTAGTAAAACTAATCCTAAGCTAAAACCCACCCTAGAACCTAGATTTTGTTTATCAGGATCACCCAAACCCTGAGCTAAACTTTTCTTGAATTTAGGCTTCAATTGTCCAATACTCTGGAAGTACGTCAACAATTACGTCAGCAACTAACGCAAATCAGCAACACCAAAAGCTTGATTACACAAACACAAAAGATTCTCGACTTTTATTTTTTTCCGGAGACACGTTTCTTCATAGAGACACGTCCTCCTTGTATAAATAGCAGAACCTATTGTCCAAGTTTTTCCAAAAGCAACTTAAGCAACTTTTCTTTTTCTCTTAAAAAATTCTCTTGTCTTGTCTTCTTCAAGTATTATATTAATCTTCAATGTAAACATCCCAATAAATATATTGCTTCTTCTGCAAGCGTGACGAGCCCACAAACATTACAAACCACGAACTTCAACATAGTCCATCTTCATGACATACATATGTACTACCTCCTGTAGTACTTCACAAACTAACACGTGATATACATCTCCAAGCTCCTCCTTTTGACTATGCATGTGTACTCATGATAACTAGCTTGAAAACCACGTCTTCAATCTCCCCCTATGAGCCACATCATGGTCAAAAACTAATAAGAAGATCTATATCCTCCAATGGGAGGATGACACCCCATTCCACCATCTCCATATTGATCAAATCTCCTAGACCAAGCATTCCTGAGCTCAAATCCTCCATGATTAGTTCCTTGAACAGACCTGAAAAAATCACGGCGAATATGCCCTTGAACTCTACAAGAATAACATATAGGACCATGACCCCTCATACCATAACCTTGCTCCATCTTATTCATCTCCCTATTGAAACACCTTGGTCTAGTGTAACCAACAACACCAAAGTGATGAAAAACATGCCGAAACTTTCGTTCAAATGCCCTCTTAAGATCAGAAACATTACCCAATACAGTCGCTGTAGCGGAACGTGTAGCAGTACTCGTAGCAGTCGCATTCTTCACATCAGTTGCAGCCTTCACTACAGTCTTTCCATTTGTTACATTCCCAATAAACACCTTTACTTTTGGTTTTGTAGCAGACGTAGCTACACCCTCAGTTTTTCTTGCTGATACAAAAACACCTTCAGCTTTAGAAGATTCACCTTTGAATCCAAGACCACATCGATAACTTTCCCAATGCTAAGAAGATGATCCAAATGATCCATCCCATTATTCAGCATCCTCAAACCCTTACGAGTTTCTGAAAGTTGAGCAGCAGCCTGTCGTGCTTCTTCTTCTTTCTCCGAGGAATACTTAAGTGCTTCAGCCACTTGTGTTTCTAGCTTGACTTTCTCTTTAGTCAACTCTGAATTCGTCTCAACCATCTTGAGCCAATTCTCATACAGCTTCTCATAATTTCCAGCAAGATCAAAGCTTTCATTAACACCATCACTTTCAGCACCAGAATCACTTCCACATGAAGACCCTGACACAGACGCCGATGCAGATCCCATCGCAGATCTTGTCTTTGAACACTAATCAAAAGTTGTGAACGCCACCAAGTTCTTCAAGTCATCACCATCATCTAAATCAGTATCAGATTCATCCTTGACATCAATCTTCTTCTTTTGCTTCAATAAATTTGCACATTCCTTCTGAACATGCCCAAATCCATTACACTCATAGCATTTTACCTTTGATGTTGATCTACATGAAACACTTCTTCTCCCACTCTTTATCCTATCTTCTCTTTGCTTCATATATCCAGCAAAACTTCTTACTAGCATCCCATAGGATCTTCAGAAGTTGAACTTTTGAGAGCGATTTCATAAGGATCTTCTTTCTTCCTATCATTATCACGACACTTATCTTGATCTTCACATGATTTGCTCAGCTCAAAAGCTTGAAGAATCCCAACAAACTCATCAAAAGTCATCTCATCCAGATTGTGAGCTTCTTCAACAACAGAGATTTTTGACTCAAACTTTGATGGCAAGGATCTCTTTAGCTTCTTCACCAGCTTTTTGTCCTTGTACTACTTTCCAAGTGCAAAACATTCATTTGAAATGTCACACAACTTAGCACTAAGCTGAGCCACGGTTTCCTCTTCATGCATCTTCAGATTCTCAAACTTTGATGCTAACATATCCAGCTTGGTACGCTTGACACTTGTAGTACCTTCAAACATATTCTCCAATGTCTTCTATGCCTTCTAAGCTGAAGCACATTGAGAAATTAATTTAAAGTAGCTTGCATCAATTACATTGTAAATCGCAGTCTTGGCCTTAGAGTTGCAACTTGAAGCCTTCTTCTCTGCAGCAGTCTACTGATCTCTTAGCTTCAAAACTTCAACCTTCTCATCATTAAGCATAACCAGATGAATCCAACCATCCTCAATAGAACTCCAACAGTCTTCATAAATACCACTGATAAAAGCTTGCATATGTACCTTCCAATATCCATAATTGGATGAATCAAGACGTGGGAGTTTTGTCATAGACGTTCCCACTTGATGTGCTGCCATCACAAACTCCGTCTTTCTTCCTGAATCAGTTTCTGTCCTCACCCTTCAAGATCTCACCAGTAACTTAGGTGACCCGCTTTGATACCAGTTGTTGATGTAGTGAGGTCAGAGTAAAAATGCAGAAATAAACAAGACACAAGTTTTCTCTTTTCGAATTCAATTAAACAAGAAAGTCTTACACCAATCTTTTCTATTACAAGAATCCTTTAGGATTAGACCAATACTAAGCTAAAACTCACCCTAGAGCCTAGACTTTGTTTATCAGGATCACCCAAACCCCGAGCTAAACTCCCCCTGAATTTAGGCTTCAATCTTCCAACACTCTGGAAGTACGTCAACAACAACTACGTCAGCAACTAACGCAGAACAACAACACCAAAAGCTTGATCACTCAGACACAAAAATCTCTCGACTTTTCTTTTTCCTAGAGACACCTTTTTTCATAGAGGCACGTCTTCCTTGTATAGATACCAGAACTTGTTCCCCAAGTTCTTCCAAAAGCTACTTAAGCAACTTTCATTTTTTCTCTTAAGGAATAACTCTCTTGCCTTTTCTTCCTCAAGTAATATATTTATCTTTCATGTAAACATCTCAATAAATATATTGCTTCTTCTCCAAGCTTGACAAGCCCACGAACATCACAAACCACAAATTCCAACATAGTCTATCTTCATGACATACACATGTACTACCTCCTATAGTATTTCACGAACTAACATAGGATATACATCTTCAAGATCCAATAAGATTCACTAGCATGAAGTATTTTGAAGTTTGTGTGAAGCAACTTCTCGACACATTAACAGATGTTGTCCAACGAAGAGGGCATCTCTTAAGAAGCCAATTATCTTCATACGAAGCATCTACTATGCAACAAAGCATAGTAGATCCTTTCACAAACAGCGTCGTTCAAAGTTGGTTGCTTGAAAGTGAGCACAATCAAGCCCATTTATTTGATGCATCAATCAATTCTAACCAACTCAGGTATTCATGGGTTAATAAGCTTCCTCAAGTACAGTTGGTACATTTTCTTCATAAAAGAGAATTTTAAATTTGACAAAATAATTTAAAGTTGGCAGAGAATTATCATCGGCAATATATGAACCATTGTTGCAAGGGATTAGTTCAAGCTCGAACCAAAACATCATGAGTGATTGGCACTTGACGAACCAGAACGGTGAAATGTTCCTTGAGTGGGGGCAGGCGTATTCATCATCGGCCTTCTTCGCTTCTATGAATCAGATCTTCTATATTTTAATTTTTTTTCTTAATTATTTACACTAAATAATGATAATATCAGTAACATTTCATTGAAAAAGAACTATCAGTAAAATTAACGTTTAGTTCTTTTGGCCAATGCCAGTATGGAGGTATGGGACCATGGGCTAGCGGAGATAATGAAAGATGAATAGGGTCAGCTGACCCCATTATTTTTTAAAAAGTATTTTTATTTCTTTTAAGAAAAAATTGTATCGACTCCAAAAGAAAATTAATTTTAACCCCACTAAAAAATAGATTCCAAACAAAAGTAATTAAACATTAAAATTTAAAGACAAATTATATAACTAATACATTTGTATCATTTACTTGTTACAATTTGGATTTACATTAATCTTTATCTCAATTTTTATTACTACAAAAAACCATGAAATCAATAATACCTTTTTATCCTAAACTTAGTTATGTATTAGTTTTAAATCCAAATTATATTATATCCAAATAGTATAGTAATTTATATCAGGAACATTAAAACAAATTAATAAACAAACTCCTCTTCTTCTACAAACGTGAGAGCTCGTGTTCTAGAAGGATATTGTAGATTATTTTTAAATTAGATTCTTTTTTGCTTATATTTTGGTGTGTTGATTATTTATTTATCAAACTAAAAATGATTATGATTCACTGATCCAAATTCAATAAAAATATTTCTTTTGACTAAAGGAATTCAACAAAATATATAGGGTTTATGTTTATAATCTGAATATTTTTAACAGCTAGTTTCATATTTAAAGATAGGCTAATTTTTATTAGTTAGATAAATAATGGACTAATTTATCTAAATGATCTTGGTGAAAGACAAATATTGTAATATCACCATAATCAAAGAGACAAGGTAAACACACAAATATTTAACTTGAGAACTTTATCAACTTTGTGGTCATATAATTTTAAAGCAAGACTCATAAAAAATACATCAAAGCGGTTTAGTCATTCTTGGTTTGATCAATATGATTGCAATAAGTATTTTTCTATTTTTTTTTATCAAAAACTATTTAAAGATGTAGTAAATAAAACTGTAATAAAAAGTTTCAAATTTTGAAGGTCGTGAAATTAAATATTTTGATCCCGGTCCAAAAATCTTCTGACTCCGCCACTGTATGAGACCTAGCATAGAGGAGATGATGACCCGTCAACAAGGTGAAATCTCGGCAATGACAAAGATGGAGGCGCAACATGCTAAGCATGAAGTCGTTGAGGACTATGAAACAAGGGTTCCCCAGCTCAGTTGCCAATAATGTCAGAAGATGATTCCATGTATTAATGTTTACTGTAGTACCTTTTTATTTTTTACTCTCCACCCTGATTTTCTCTTATTTATTATGCATGAGAGGATGATGAGAAACACAAAGGGTGTGATTGATAAATATAACGTAACTAGGAGTAAATTAAAGTAGAGGAATTGAGTGGAAAAACTCGAGAGTAAATAAAATAAATAAGTGTCACATCCAGCGTAACTTTTTCCATCTTATGAAGGAAAGATACACTTGCTTTTTACTCGTTTGTGAATAGTAACTAGAGTAAAAGATTAATAAATCTATTATAAATAAAAGGGGCAAATGAAGCCAAATGAGCCTGTCCACGTCATCACAAATATTTACCCAATCAAATGGCTTTAAATTGCCACGTCATGCGGGGACTGGAAAATCGACCAATAAGAAATCCCCTTTTTAACACGTCATGATTGTTTATGTCCAAAAGAGAGCGAAATTGGAACTTCGTTTGGGCTGTCCAGATAAATTACAAATTTAAAGAAAGCCCGTTCAAACCTATTAATTCTTCACCTAACAATTTCTTGTGAAGCCTGGAGTTATCTTCCCGGTCCCGACTCTTAAGCTTCATCTTCACCGGTTGCAATAGTAACTCAGTTACTGCTTCTTCCTCTTCATCAATCAATGAGGCTATTAAATCTCATCTTTATTGTTTTGTTATACCATCCTCTCTTTCTCCTCATATATAAAATGCTCACATGGGTAGAGATCGATTTACATCGAACCAAACTCAGAAACCTACTTCAAGAATCTCAAGCTAAGGCGATAGTTAGCTCTTTACCTTTGTGAGATTACAACTGCCGCATGATTTTGTGGTCCGATCGGAAGATTTTGCGTGCCACATTGAAGGAGCACCCCAAGAACGAATATGTTTTTTTGTGAGTAAGTTTCAGACAAATTTCTGGATATTACTTTACTTTTTTGTCGAAAGATCATTCTCAAAGTCTTATTAAGTTGAATAATTTGTCCCTGAAATTCTTATTTTCAGACTAGCGTATGGTCTTACTCTTAAGGAATTTTTTTTTGGGTAGTTTTCTTGGATCTCTGGCCTATCTGCCTAAAGCAAAGCTTGGATCTGTATTGCAGGTCTAATTCCTTAAAACTGATACTATCAAAAAGTTGTAATTTTGTTTAATGATTGTGAAAGCTCTTTACCCGTCCTCTCTGGAATTCAATAACTAGAGCTTTTTCACTACAATCTTATTTGGTCAATAGTTTGACTTATAACATCTTTCACATAGGGATTTTATTGATTTCAGGCTTAGTTGTTTGTTTAAACTAGGTCTATATATATTATTGTGTCTTCATAAGCTAAATGTCCAACCTTATGTGATATATTTTTGTTTCTGTTGTTCTTTTCAGTTGGTGTATAAGATGATGGGAGCTTGAGTTTGGAATGAAAAAATGGCTGCATTGACTTTGGTCTTGAGGACCAAGCAGGCACTGTCACATCTAATATTTTTCTTCACACAACGATAATGGGCGCAGACAAAGCTAATTCAGAAACTCCAAATATATCTAAGTGCTGATGAAGTGTAATATTCTTCAGTACCAGCTTAACGATCTCTGACATATTTTGATATTTGAGCTTCTAGGTATTTTACAAGCCGCAATTATTAAGGTCAAGGGTTGCATGCATCTTTAGAGACGGCTATGAGTGATGTTCGTCGTGAGGTATAATCCATTTTTTGTACTACATTTCTACTGGTTCATTGTAGAGACGTTATTCTTAAACAAAGTTTCCACCTGTTTTGATGATTTCAAAGTCTAATAATTAACAAAGAAGCTATAAAACATAAAGAAGGAGAGGTCCAAGCTCTCTCTAGAAAAAGGTAACATTTCATTTTTAATCAGCTTTTAGTAGACAAAAGTCTTGAAACTATTCGTTGTTTCTGTTACTCTTTTTTTTTCCTTTTTGTCTCAATTGTCTCTTATTCTGTTGCTGGTTTGTATATATATATATATTTTTTTCTACTTTACAATCATTGCAGTATGATATTGTAACTATTTCATCAATTGGATATGGTCCATGATAGGTTCTCCATCAATTTTCATAGGTTTATGTGTGAGTATCAAAGCGGCTGCTCAAGGAATTTTTCTTGGAGTTACATGATGAAGGAACATCATTATTGATAAGTGGACAGAGATATGAAGACAGAAAAATGTAAATGGTTTGTTTATATTACACTTGGTGCTCTGTATGTGAACACCTAATGACAACCAATTTAGAATAGTGAAGATATATGTTCCAGTTTCCTGTCTTAATTGCTATGTGGTTCAAAGCCGACCTTGGTCTGAGTTTGTCTTGCATATGTTGCGCCACGTATTTTGTTTTATGTATTGTAAAAATCAAACACAAGGGACAGATTTAAGCTCTGTATACACAAGCGGGTGATTGACCTCTTCAGCTCTTTAGCGGTAGTGAAGCAGATCACTTCCATCACTATTGAGCTTGGTATTGAGAACAAGTTCAACCCATCTGATTCTTAGTGCATGTGGTTTAGTTTACAAATTGTCTTTGAATTCTTACGAGTTTGTCCCTTTTTTATTAAAAGGTCCAGATGTCATCTTCACTTTCTAGATCAATAAGTGGATCGAAAGCCATAGGCAAAATAAGTAAAAAACAGTATGTAATAAATATACAGTAGAATTTATAACTAGATGATAGACCAAATAAAATAAAACTATAAGAACCCAAAGATTCACATAATAGAAACAGGTTTGAGTTGAACTTATTCACTGTCTATAACAAATCTATCTTATATTAAAAGAGCTAATTTCATTGATTTTAAGCATGCCATGATCATATAGAAATAATATAATAAACAGAATTATTATTATAAATTTATTGTTAAAATTTGCTGCACTATTACAGATAAATTATTGTTCGCCTCAACACCAAGGCCCAAGCACATGTTTCTAGACTGGCGATACTCAGGGGAGAAGCCAAGGAAAAAAATCAGTGGGTGCATAATGCTGGATAAAATATATCATGTATGTTAATAAATGTGATCGAGTGTGCATCGAACCCTCTACCATAACCAACTGATCTAATTTAGTCATAATTGTGCTATGTAACATACTAACATGGTAATTTTTAAAACATTAGGGGTGCACTTGCACTCAGAAGCTACAACGTAGCTTCGCCCCTGGCGATACCATTGACATCATACAAGGTTTCATGAGAAGGAACAAACTAAACTCTCATACATAAGTCATCACTCAACTTTATATCAAATGACAAATAAAAATCTCAGTAGTACTCCAAATTTAAACAATAAAATAGTTCATGTACCAATACTCTACTATGACAAATTCAAAACAATTTATATAATGATTCATTATAGTATCCAAACAAGAATCCCATTTAAAAATCTTATAGTAACCTATTTACTTAATTTTCACTCATTATTACAGATAAACATTTCTTTGTAACACCAGTAAGTGAGGTTTATTGAATCAAGGATTTGAGTAAATCCAAGAAAATTTGAGATTTGAATAAATCCTAAAGAGGTTTGTTACAAGTTTTTTTGGGGGTTTTGAAGAAATTTCAAAGGTTTTTTTAAAAAATTTAAAATAGATTTAAAATAATATATTTATTTAAAGAAAATATTTACTTTTAAAATTAATAGAATTTGATATTATTCTGGTTTTAGGAAATATATAAAAAAATATTAAAATTTATTTTCAAATATTTCTTTTTTCATTTCAAACAACTTGATTTTCTTTTAAATGTGAAGTACTTTTTTTTTTTTGCTTTTCACTAAATAATATTATCCAAACTCCACCAAATCCCATCGATAGATTTTTTGAAAATCATCATATTTTCAAGAAGCTAGAATTTGAAAAAACATATACAAACAACTAATCCAATAAGCTTGCATTTCATATATAGAACTTATAAATGATAGATACGATAAGAGGAGATTTGAGAAAAAAAAAATTTCTCTCAAATCTTGGATCCAATAAGACCCTACGAACTTGCTTATATTTGACATCCACATTGACATCATAAAAGGTTTTACATGGAGAAACAAACTAAACTCTCATACACAAAATCATCGCTCCCAAATCCAAAAATCGACAAAAACTTTCAAAAACAATCAAAACAAAAACTATAAATTATTTTTGTGTAACCATCATATACTATGAAGATAAATATATTGTATATTTTATAAAAAATTATTTCGTAATTTTCATTGCAACATAATTTCATAACAAATTATCCGCGCGTAACGCGGACAACGATCTAATAATAATAAAACTTTTTCACCTGATTGGTAACCAATTGATGGGAACCAACAAGATAAGTTTTTCACCCACTAACTTTTACTCTAAAAATACCTTACAGTCAGACACAAAGCGTTTTATTTGTATACCCTTTCTTCAATAAAATTACCCTTTTTTTAAGAACTTAAACGTAACTTTAGTTACAAGTTTCCCCCCGTAAAACATATTTTCAAAGGTTAGCTTATTTTTTCAACATTTTCGCCCTTTCTCCACTCAAATGTAAGTTTTAATCATTTTCATGTGTTGATAAAAAAAAAACATTTTTTTTTGATAAAACATTTTCATAAGTCTATCCTATCATTTTTTTTTCAGCCACACATTAATAATTGAAAATAAACTTCCGGATTGGGTATTAACTGATCATCCACCGAAAAGATAAATACAACGTTCTATTGGATTTAAAAGGTTTTAGAAAACCAGTTTTTCTTACTTTAGAAAGAAAACAAAATCTTCTTTTGTTGTGTTGTAAAAAAATAAAGTACTGAATTGAAGTTTCTAAAAGTTAACAGTATTAATTTGAACTTCTACGAAGCTAAATAAAAAATTGTCACTATTTCTCTAATATAACTACAGATCCAGATGTTGCTTTGTGAATGAAACAATATCTCAACTACTATGAAAACAAAAGGAAAAGTATCATAAGATGTTAACATATGAAATCTTAGTATTCAATTTGGGCGGATTTCATTTAGAAGTTAGATTTTGTACCAATATATGTAAAATAAAAAGTATCTAAGTTGAGCTCTTTTAGATCTTCTTATTAAAAGTATGTCTGTTTTATATTCTTCTTATTAAAACTCATTCTCATAGTACATAATCATCTTCGATAAACTTCTCTAGGCTTAAGGTTTGATTATGAAAACTGCAGTGCGGTTAAGAATGGCTTTAAACGACGATCTTGAATTTCCTTTCGGCTTCTTGGACTCGCTAGAAACTTTTAATGCTGTCACGGTATGCTTCTTCATTTCAAATTGGATGAAAAGACAAGTACTCATTCTACCAATTTCATTTTCAACCAAATATACAATATACACATTGCATCATATATGGCTTCTCCGCTGGACTAATTAAATGATGTTTACATATATAGGAGTGTCAGGAAAATCCTTCGTTGTTGGTGTCACAAAATGAGCACAGTGATATAGTTCCATATATCCCTGTCTCTGCTGCCACAAATGATGTATATCCACCATCATTGATGGAATATCCTCGCACTGATCAAGAGATGTTAACAAGAAATCCAAGCTTTGATCAAGAGATAGTAACACAAAATCAAAGCTTCCATCTGGTGGACGATTATTCTAGATCTACCAACGCATTACAATTATCTCTGAACGTGGTACGTATCAACATTACTTAACTATGACACGTCTTCAACTAATCAAAGCATATGATTTATTTTTTATTTCTAAAAAACTTATAGCATTAAAATCTTCTCTACCAAAATTAATTTACACTAATCTCGCAAATTAATATGCAGCCATCATGTACATTCCCCAATGGCCAAAGAGAAAGTGTATACAGTGAAAACTGTATGCTAACCCCGACCGATAAGGCGATGATGAGCACTAGACTACAATCAGTTGGTTTACAGGATGGATATGTAAACCAAAGCTATCAACAACCTTTGATGTCGGAAACAAATGATAACCTCTTTAACAATCCATATGTTTCAACAATGGTAAGAAGCTTCTATAACATTTTTTCATCATTAATCACAGATCATTTAAATATGTCTTTACTCACGTTATTCAATATAATGTTGACTCAGATGGGGAGTAATGTACAACAAGTGGAAAGAAATAATGGACTTGCAAATTTCAATTCTATATATGACCTTCGAGAAGAACATCATCTTCCTTCTTTGTACATATTCGTCTTCTAACATTTTTCTGTCTCTTAAAATGTTTCCCCAAACGTTAAGAATTAACAATATTAATATTCACTTCTATATTAGTGGATGCAGCTTACAGGAAGAACAAGATAGTCTCGACTTACTAATTGGACAGCTCCAGAATATTCATAAAAATGATCAGCTGCAACAACTAAAATCGTCCAACAGGCCTGTCTCACCATACGTGTAAGAAAACAACGTATTTATTTTTATTTTTTTTTGCGGGGGGGGGGGGGTTGTACTAATTGTCCTCATTTTT